ATTTACATTACAATTCATAACAGTAGCAAAATTACAGTTATGAAGTAACAACAAAAAAAAACGTTATGGTTGGGGGTCACCACAACATGAGGAACTGTACTAAGGGGTAGCGGCATTAGGAAGGTTGAGAACCACTGCTCTAAGCCAATAAGGCAGAGCTTTCCAAATATTTCATGTTGGAGACACACAATTTTTGGACATGCATTATTTTGTGACACGGTAATTCAGTATTCTTATAATTACACTAGGTAACATGATTTTTGTTCCTGGGTTATAAACATCATTTCCTAATTGGTTCTGTCATAGAAACATGGGAAAAGGTTATTAAACTGCCAAAACTTTTTCGGGACATGCCACAGCACATTTTGCTATAGTTTTTCAATGAACATCTCATCGAGTTCAACCAATTCAGCATAGTTTATGGCAGGCACAAAAATGAAGGTTCTGGGGTATAACAACTACTTTCAAAGTAAGTACTCAACCCTGCTATATGCCTGTGAGACGTGAACTGTCTACAGACGTCGCATGCAACTCCATGGATTCCATCAGCGCTGCCTCCAAAAAATCCTGCAAATCTCTTGGGAAGACAGGCGGACAAATGTCAGCGTGCTGGAAGAAACAAATACCACCAGCACTGAATCAATGGTCCTCTGCCATCAACTCCGCTGGACTGGCCACGTTGTCCGGATGCCCGACCACCGTCTCCCAAAGCAGTTGTTCTACTCCGAACTCAAGAATGGAAAATCGAATGTTGGTGGACAGGAAAAGAGATTTAAAGATGGGCTCAAAGCCAACCTTAAAAACTCTGGCATAGACACTGAGTAGGCCTGGGCGGTTTCGTTCGTTAATTTTGTAATTCGTTAAATATTCGTTATTTTTAGCATTTACGAAACGATAACAAAACACATTTTCAAACCCGGAAGGGTTTAAAAATATCGAACCGGCAACCCCCATAGTTTTAACGAGCTTCCGCCCGTTTCGTAAATGGGATGGAGGCTGCTGGTGCCCTGGGAGCCAATCCGGCGCTCCCAAGCACCCAAGCAGTGCACTGTGGCTGTTTCTGATTGGCCGGCGAGCCCTTTAAAAGCGGCTCCGCGCGGCCGTACAGCTCATTGCTGCAGAGGGCGAGGGAGAAGAGAAGAGGTCCGGGAGGGTTTGCATTGGGTTGGCTTGCAACTGCTTGGATTCATTCCTTGCTCATTCCTTGCTTGGATTCATTCCTTGCTGCTTAGTGCTTATTATTCCTTGCTTGGATTCATTCCTTCCTTCGGTTTTTGTGAATTTGTTTGTTAATTTTCCATTTTTAAATATTTTTTAATATTTTCTAAAAATACCTGTCTTTTATTCTTAAAAAAATACAAAAAATATTCTAAAAAAGAAAAGACTCTTCTGTTGCTGTGTGCTCTCATTTGCCCTGTCTCGTGGCTGTGTTTGGTCCACATCAGGGCCAGTTTTTGGTTAAGTTTCCATTTTTGAATATTTTCTAAAAATACCTGTCTTTTATTCTTAAAAAATACAAAAAATATTCTAAAAAAGAAAAGACTCTTTTGTTGCTGTGTGCTCTCATTTGCCCTGTCTCGTGGCTGTGTTTGGTCCACATCAGGGCCAGTTTTTGGTTAAGTTTCCATTTTTGAATATTTTTTAAAAATACCTGTCTTTTATTCTTAAAAAATACAAAAATATTCTAAAAAAGAAAAGACTCTTCTGGTGTGTGCTCTCATTTGCCCTGTCTCGTGGCTGTGTTTGGTCCACATCAGGGCCAGTTTTTGGTTAATTTTCCATTTTTGAATATTTTCCAAAAATACCTGTCTTTTATTCTTAAAAAAATACAAAAAATATTCTAAAAAAAAAAAGACTCTTCTGTTGTTGTGTGCTCGTTCATTTGTGTAGTTCCAACCAGTGCGCTCCTTTTGCCAACAGAAAGTGCTACATACACTGCTCGCTCATCTGTGTAGTTCCAACCAGTGCGCTCCTTTTGCCAACACAAAGTGCTATAATACAGTGCTCGCTCATTTGTGTAGTTCCAACCAGTGCGCTCCTTTTGCCAACACAAAGTGCTACATACACTGCTCGCTCACCATTTGTGTAGTTCCAACCAGTGCGCTCCTTTTGCCAACACAAAGTGCTACATACACTGCTCGCTCATCATTTGTGTAGTTCCAACCAGTGCGCTCCTTTTGCCAACAGAAAGTGCTATAATACAGTGCTCGCTCATTTGTGTAGTTCCAACCAGTGCGCTCCTTTTGCCAACACAAAGTGCTACATACACTGCTTGCTCATTTGTGTAGTTCCAACCAGTGCGCTCCTTTTGCCAACAGAAAGTGCTATAATACAGTGCTCGCTCATTTGTGTAGTTCCAACCAGTGCGCTCCTTTGCTCATTATTTGTGTAGTTCCAACCAGTGTGATGAAACGCTTCCTTCCCGGCTTTTCTAGTCGCAAGGGCCAAGTGCTATCGCGAATACCGAAGAAAGGCAGGGGACTGAAGATGAACACATTGACAAGAAGGGAACATTCATCCAACGAGATGGTTATTGAAACACCCACAGATGCTTCAACCAGCTGTGAGATGGCAGAACCTTCTTCTTCATCAGTTCGAAAGACTCTACGTTCAGATCCTGATGTCGTTCCAAGTACCTCTGATATTCCTTGTTATGAAGAGGAGGGCGAGGAGGCGGACGTGTCAGAGGAATGGGAGGAAGACAAGATGGAATGTGCTTCCACCACAGGAATTAGTGATCAAGAGGACTGCATGCTGATGGAGGGCGAGCTACAGAAACAACCAACGATTATACTCCCTTCCACAAACACCGACAGTCCAAACACGAGCATGAGTACATCTGAAGTGCCTAGTAGGGATAGGCCGAGATCGCTCCTATGGGATCATTACGACGTCCATAATGAGAGGGCCACTTTGGCAGTTTGCAGGCATTGCGGTGTGAGCGTCAGCAGAGGAAAAGATATGAGGCATCTTGCCACAACAGGGCTAAGGATGCACATTAAGATACACCACCCCCAAATGTGAAGTTGGTCCTTCTTACTTAACTTGCAATACTGCTACAGAAATTAGTATGTATGCAATACTTCCCAGATAATTTTCAGAGTTTTTTCAAAGTGCAATTTCTGTTACTTTTTGTTACTTTTTCTTTATTTATTTCTTATATTTACTTTCTAAGTTTTTATAATAACATTATTTTTATATATTAATAATTTATAATTTAATTTTATATATTATTTTTATTATTATTTATAATTATATTTTATAAATATTTTATAAATTTAATTATATTTTATTTAAATATTTATATTATTATTTATTTCATTTATATAATATATATAATAATATATTATTATATTATATTATTTTATTTTATATTGTATATATTATATAATTTTATATTATTTATTGTTATTATTTATTATTATTATTATTATTTATTTATATTTTATTTATTTAAATTTTATTATTATATTATTGTTTATTTCATTATATTATTAAATTGACTCAGTTTTGGATACTTTATCTTATTACTTTTTTTATTTAATATCTTAATATCTTGTTCTATTTGATTATTTTATTTGATTTATTTTATGAAATGATTTTGTTTATAGAGCATTTAGCATTGCGCAATCGCGTCCGCCGTTTTAACGAATCAATTCGTTATAACCTTAACGAATCGACCCCGCGTCAATAACGAAGCTTCGGAAGTGATTTTGCGCATGCGCGGGGGGTCCGCCATCTTAACGAATCAATTCGTTAATATTTACGAAATTTCGTAAATACCGAACTTTTTTGGGGGGAAAATTTTGTAATTATTTTAAATATCGAAACAAAAAAACACCCCAATTACAAATCGATTTTAGAACCAAATTTTTTCTTGATCAACCAGGCCTAACACTGAGAAGTGGGAAGCCCCGGCCCTTGAGCGCTCCAGCTGGAGGTCAGCTGTGACCAGCAGTGCTGTAGAATTTGAAGAGTCACAAATGGAGGACGAAAGGGAGAAACGTGCCAAGAGGAAAGCATGTCAAGCCAACCCTGAGCACTTTCCACCTGGAAACCAATGCCCTCACTGCCGGAGAAGATGCAGATCAAGAATAGGGCTCCACAGTCACCTACAGACCCACCTACAGTACACTGATCCTGGAAGACTATCTTACTCGGACAATGAGGGATCGCCTAAGTAAGTACCACTCAATTAAACAGGAAATCACACTTTCAAGACAGAAACAGATTTTTTCCAATTTTGTTACATAGTATTATTATTATGTTTATTTATACCCTGCTTTTTCTCTCCACAAGGGGGCTCAAAGCAGCTTACATTAAAAGCATTTCAATACAATTAAACATCTACAAATATACAAACATTAAGACAGAATTAAACATCATTGGTATAAAAAAATCCAGTTAAAATCAATAAGAACATATTAAAAGCTAAAAACGACAGCACCTTCTGACCTGATCTTAAAAGCCTTATTCATTAAAACCTTCTTCTTTTACTAGCAAACCAGAGATACAGACAAATACATAAATTCCAATAAAGTAATGTATGAGGACACAACGTATCTCATGAAAAACTTGCATGTATTTTTTAAAACATAAATGATTTATTCCTTATTTCGTATAGACTGAGTGGTTTCTCATTACGTCCACACCATACACCTGCACACTGCAGCTGACACCCTAATGTGTTGCAACCCAGAGTTTGGAAAACTCTGCAATAGAGGCTTCCAACCGAGAAAGATTTGTGTGCGAGAGACTATTCTTACTCGCTGTCCTTCCTCACTAAAATATGTATACAGAAAATATGTGGCCTGAATCAGTATTGTGAACTCTACCACTTCAGAATTCGACCTTCCTTTCTGGCACGCACAAGCAAACCACACTTTGTAAAGGTTATTATTAGCCGAAAGAGAGAGTGTACGTACACGGGAATGCATGCATTAAGACAAGCCAAAACGATAAAAAATACATGAAGGCAGGAGAGAGAGAACACCACTTACCAGTTTAATTCTCCTGAATTAAAAAATGTACCTTGTGCTTGACGATCTCTCCTTAATCTGTAGGCACATGTAGAGAAAAATACATAATTAGGTTTTCCCTCTGTTGTGAGATTTGCTATGTCTCTTTCTTCTTTCAAAGGACACCAAAGAGAGGAATAATGCTGCATTTGTCTGAAACAGCAGAGAAAGTGGAAATACTCCCTTGGCAATATGGGAAGTTTTTTTTTTTTTAGTGTTTATACTACTGCAAGAAGAGTAAGAAAATATTTGTCACTTAGATGAATCACCACACCAGTGTTTGCATTGAAGAGGAAACAGTGCAAGCGTGCTATCTACTATAGCATCCGCCCGACACAATTAGGGCTGAAGGGTGAGGGACTCAGACAGATATGGGAGCTTGGGAAGCTTTTATGTTTCAAAGAACATATGGGAGTTAAACCAAAACGTCTAGAAGCTTAAATGAAGGTCAAATTCTTTTCCTTCCTGAATCAATGACATCTAGGACCTCATTACCTCAGGGTTAATTGACATGGTTTCCCCTTAAGATACGGTACTTCTGTAGGAAAGAACAAGCAAAACTATGTCTGTCAGGCATAATTTCTGCTTCATCTCCAGCATTGATTTTGGCAGGTCCCCCTTCTCGTTATTTATTTTTCCCATTTTTAATTTTGTTACACTTCTATCTAAGGTTTTATTTAGAACGCCATTAAAATCCCCTAACATTATCATTTGTTCAAAATCTTGTTCTTCTATATTCTTCCTCAAATTTCTTACAAATTTTGTCTTCGCCTTATTTGGAGCATATATATTACATATGAGTATTTTCCTGTTTTGCAACCAGATATTTACCCCCAGAAACCTTCCTTCTTCGTCCCTAAAGGCTAATTCTGCCTTTATATTTTCATTTACGTACGTAACCAGCCCTCTCTTTTTTTCCTGTATTGCTGCATGGAATGCTTGACCGAATTTTTTGTAATCCAGATGTTTTGTATGTCTACTCATGACATGTGTTTCTTGTAACGCAATAATGTGGAGTCCTTTTTTCTTTAATGCATTAAATATTTTATTTCTTTTGTTCGGGGAGTTCATCCCATTAACGTTATTCGTATAGATTCTTAACTCACTCAACATGCTTTACCCTCCTCTTCTCTTTCTCTTGATTCCTGCTCTCCTACTTCTCGAATTTCTTCTTCTTCTTCCCCACTTATTTCCTCTTCTTCTATTTCTTCCTCCTCCAGGTCACTTAAATCCATCACTCCCGCTCCTTCTTCCGACATTCTTCTTAATTCTTCTTTTTCTTCCTGCGCCAAATACTCTTCTTCCATAGAGTCTGTGCGTTTCTTCTTTTTTGTCTTTCCTTTTGTGTGTTCTCCTTTTTCTCTCTCATAATCCAGTTTTATTTTGTTTAGGAATTCCTTTGCACTATCTTCATTCTTAATCCAGACCCTTTGCTCTTTGTATGTTAGCATCAATCCTTCTTCTCTTTCCCATCTGAACCTTATCCTTTGTCTCTTTAATTCCTCCGTCAGTGGGGCATATTTCCTTCTTCTTTTTAATACTACCCCCGGAAATTCTTTGAGTATGACTATTTTGTTTCCTTTGTAGCAAATCCTTTTTCTGTTGTTCATTTTCAAGATGTCATCCCTAACCGTCTTTTTCACAAAATGTACTATAACATCACGCGCCGTCTTATTTCGTCTCGCGTAGCTAGTATTTATTCTATAAATTCTGTCCGTCCTTTCCTGCATTAACTGTTTCGTGCATTCCATTAGCTCGGCTAGAATTTCTATCACTTTTTCTCTTATATTCTCATTCACCTCCTCTTGTATATTTCTTATCCGTAGTTGAAACTCCATCTCTTTTGCTTCCATTTCTTCCTGTTTCGCCTCCATTCTTGTGTTTTTTATTTCAATGTTTTTCATTTTTGTTCTCATTTCTTCTTGTCTATTCGTCAAGTCTTCTTCCCCTTTCTTACGTTCTTTCATTTCTTGTTGTATCGTTGACATTTCTAATTTTAATTTTCCAATTTCCTCTCTTATATCCCTTTTCAGATCCGTCATCTGCTCTTGCGCAATTTTCTGGTATATGTCCTGTCTTTCTTTTATTGTTTGAACCTCCACTTTCATCGTCTGTATTTCTGTCAATACTTCTGTCATCATTTCCTTCATCATTTCTTTTAAGTTCATTTCCTCTGACACTGACATTTTCCTTGGTGTCCCTTTTGCCTCCTTTCCTTCTTTCTCTCCCTTCAGTTTGTTGGCTGCCATTATAGGTTCTAATAATCTCTTTATCCCTCCCCACTCTCTCATATGTTGTCTTTATTCTGCTCTTTTATTGTCTGTGTTCCAGTCCTTAATGTGTTAATATCTCTTTACTTCTTCTTCTTTTTTTCTTCTGCTTCTTAATTCTTCTACTTCTTAATTTTAATCTGTTGGAGACAATTTTAATACGTGTTGTATATAATATCCTTATTTTTATTAAGCTTTTTTTATTTTTTTTTATTTTTATTTTTTTTTATTTTATTTGTTTATTTTTTTTTATTATTATTATTATTATTATTTTGTAATATTTTATATTATTTTATTTATTATTATTTTTGTTTATTTTATGCTTATTTTCCTGTATTCTCGCTATCTATTTCTGTCTACTTCCCTTCTTCCCTTTCCCACTTACTTATTCTCTTTGAGTTCTCTTTTATCTTCGATTCTTCTCCTCTTTACTTTTGCCGCCCCCTTCTATTTTCTCTTTATTCTGCCGCTTTTTTCCTTTTTACGCGCCACTTCCGTCCTCTCTCTCAGTCCTTGACCTTCTTCTTTTTGACCTTCTTCCTGTTCTTATACTTCTCGCGGGATTGCTTTACCCTTCCTTGTCTCGCGGTCTCTCTTCCCTTCTCTCCTCTCGCGTTATTTCGACGTCTCTCAGTTCTCGCGAGATCTCAATTTAACTGCGATGTTTCTGAGGTTTTTTGACTTCCCTTCCAACTTTCGTCACTTCCTCCTTAGCCTCCACGTGTCTCTTCCTCCACGTGTCCTCCTCTCCTCCTCCCTCCTTCTCTCCTCTCCTTTTGCCTCCTCCTTCTCTTCCCCCGCACGTCTTTAGACACAACAATCAGCTCCAGCTCAAGGTCAGTCCCACCTTTAGTTTTGTTCTCTCTTTTCAGTTCCCGTCTGTTCTTGTGTAATTATATACTTGTATATACTTATGTAGTTAAAATTGTATTTAGTTATATATAATTGTATATAATTGTATAGTTCGCTGGTATATATTGTACAAATGATCTTACAGTGTTTCTTCACACTCTGTTTTTCCCGTCCCTTCGTTCCTCCGTTCTTTATTCTTTTATTCCTCCTTTATTTCTTTGTTTCCCTTTTTCTCTATTTCTTCTCTATTTCTTTCTACAGCATTCCCTACACAATGCTTCTCATGCCTTCCTAGGTCATATTTTTAGCTCTCCTTGTCTTTATATCTTTGTAGCTTTCGCCTTAGTTTGCTTGTCCCTCTACTCTCTTCTTTCTCTTTTATTTCCTCTTTCCTGGAGCTTTTCTCCTGCTGTACTCTTTTGTCCCACCGAGAATCTGGCGATGTTTATATTTGGTATATTTGTTACCTTTAATTTTCTCCTTCTCCTTCTCCTTCTAATTCTTTCTTTTTCTTCCTGATTCTTCTTCCCTTTTTTTCCCCCTTTCGGAGATCCTCAACTTCTCTTCTCTTCTCTTCCCTCCGCCAGGAGAGCCTTTAGACCCCTTCCGACCCCTCCTCTCTTGCGTTTTATTCCCGTTCTTCCTTACCTCCACCTCCCTTTCTTCAGTTAAAAGTGCAGTCGGCCGGAGATTGCGAGCTTTCGCCCGTCACGATCTGGGTGATCCGCCGTACCTGTGGGGTCATGTACCGGGTCCTTCAGGGACCTCCTCTTGAGGAGAAGACCCCCTTTTGGACCATCGGTTGACCCCTTTGGTTTCGCTGTTCCCCCCCAATTCGATCCCAGGGGGGAAGGGAGCCTCTGCTCTACCCAATCACCCGTCGTACACACACCGATGCACAGAGCACTCAGTGTATGCTGCTCTCCGCCATTTCCCTGCACCGGAAGTCAGTGAAAATGGCAGTATTACCAAAATTAATTTTTCTGTTTCAGAACTTACCAATAATAAGGAACAAAAATATACTAAAGGAGTGGAATAAAGATATTAGAAAATTTATTTGGAAAAATAAGAAACCGAGAATCAGTTATGATAATCTAACTGAAAAAAAGGAAAAAGGAGGGATGGCGGCACCAGACTTAGAATTATATTTGGAAGCAAACGCCTTAATCTGGGCGAAGGACTGGGCGAAATTGGAAAAGAAGAAATTATTAATATTGGAAGGAGCGGATTTGCGAGAGGGATGGCACACATATGTGTGGTATAAAGGGAAAAAAAATGAAAAGAATTTTGGTAATCATTTTGTAAGATCGATAATTTTGAATATTTGGGAAAAATATAAAAATAGACTATACAACAAAACACCGATGTGGGTGTCCCCGTTAGAGGCGGGACAAAGGAGATGTACAGGTTGGCATGACTGGCCAAAATATAAAGATTTATTGAAAACGGAAAGAGGGGAGATAATTCTAAAATCGCAAGAAGAACTGAATACAGTGGAGCAGAAGGTGTCGTGGTTAGAGTATTGGACGATAAAAGAAAAGTATAAGAAGGATAAAGGGTTAGGATTTAATCAAGATAAAAATTTCTGGGACAAAATAATGGAATCAAAAAGGAAATTGATAACAAAGATATATGATAAGCTTCTGGAATGGAAAATGGAAACAAAGGGAGAAAAAAACTATAAAAAAAGGTGGAATGAAAATATTGGGAGAAATATAAAGCAAGAGGAATGGGAAAGAATTTGGAGGGAGAAACTAAAATACTGCCAGGCGATTGATATGAAGGAGAATTGGCTCAAGACGGCGCATAGATGGTACATGACACCAAAAAAACTAGGGAGGAGCAATAGTGGTATCAGTACAAGATGCTGGAAATGTAGAGAGAAGGAAGGTTCATACTTCCATACATGGTGGACCT